TTTTGCAGCAAAAGCCACAGTACTCATAAGCTGACGGCGTAAATTTGCAAATATATATCACCAACGGCAGCTAATTTATGTAAATTTGCCACAAATCTCTCACTTCACCATAGAATATGGTAGGTAAAATTGGTGTGGCGAACTCCTTGATCTCAGTGGTGAACTCTCGCATCTCAGATCTTCCAATTAGTACTTGAAAAAATGTTACTTAACATTTGCGCCTTCTCATTAAATTAACATTCTCTGATACTACGCCTTTGTTTGTGTGAAACGAGTCAAGTACAAACAAACTTATGTATTGATTACTTGGGCGACCAAAGGCGCAAAACACAAACAAACCAAACAAGCCCAAATATTTTTGAGGTGGTCTGCAAAGGAAACGAAAATGATTATATAGTTGATAAGTAGGTTCGTCTTTTAGTTGGGGTTGCCGTTTTGGGCTTTTCCTACCAAAATTGGTAGGTTATTTTTTCATTGGTAGGATGGTAGGACGCTTAAAATTTTTTATAGGCTTTTTTGCTCATAAAACATCTCTGATTTATTGTAGTGGTTCACTTTGTCAGCACTGAGAGTAGGCCTGGCAAACTGGGACTATATCAAACCAGGAGATTTTTTCGGTTGGGGAAAGTTAATGGTAGAACCAAAACCAAAGACATACTACAAATTGAAGGTTTATTCCTCCTCTTCATTTTTAAAAAAATGTGTAAACCGATTCTCATCCCTCCTTCTCTTTTAAAAAAGCGATATCTAATTTTTTTTTAGAAAAAACTTTCAATTTTATGCCCGTTCTGTTTCTCGGATGGGTTCAACTGTTTGCCATTATGTCCAATACCTTTGAGAAAAACTCTGTGATTACTGGTATAGACAGAGTTGTACCCATTAAATTTGGCGATTTTGGCTATAAAAAGTTTCATCCACTCCATATCTAAAGGGATATCAAGAGATTGAATTGATGGATAAACTTTTGACAGCATCTGTATTAACCGGGGTAAAGGCATGTTTACAAATCACATGTTTTCCTTTGGAAAGACAGTTGCGAATCGATCGGAGTTTTTAGCCGCAACTCGAAGAAATTGATGCCAAACCCACAGCGC